CATGAAAATTGGTTTGAAATTGGGTTTAATTCCCTCACCTTTGGGCCTTGATTTTACAAATTGAGCTTTGAATCATGTTAAACTATGAGTTTTGAAGTGTTTTTCTAGGAAATGGGCCCGAAGGAATCGAATTTGATACATTTGAAGTTGAATTTGAGCTTGAGGTTCAAATCTGGGAATTCCAGATTTTGAACTCACGCTCGAGCGGGGTGACTGGCGCTCGAGTGTGAAATTCGTGCTCCCAGTATTTTGCACTATTTTGATGTCCACTCGAGCGGGGAAATTGACGCTTGAGCGGGACCTTGTGTCTTACGCTCGAGCGGATGTCGAGCGCCCAATCGAGCGTGATTTTCATCTATCCAGCACTTTTGACTGTTTTCAGTACACTCGAGCGTCTAAGTCTGCGCTCAAGCGGAAACCTTTGTCTGCATGTCCGCTCGAGCGGAGTAATCGACGCTCAAGCTGGAACCCTATTTTCTGAAAATTCGAAAAATGCTTTTAACGTGCATCTTGCATCCTCATTTCATCCTAGACATTCTTAGGCCTAGTTTAACGCATCTTAATGAGGATATAGATGTAGAACCACACCGAGTCAAGATAGGGATTAAGTTATTATCTTTCCCAACTATGTAGCTTAGTGTGTGTTCAATCTGTAAACTGTGTAGGGTTAGTGACTGGGGACGCGCTCTAGCCTAACTGTAGCCCAGAACTCTGTGACTAACAACTGTGTAAATATATGTTCAAAAATGATTATCTTCTGAACAATTGAACTGTACTGTTTCTGAATCGATACTGTTAATAGAATGAATATATGTCCTCTATTCTGAACTGTATCGTGGCATCCTTAACAACTATTATTACTGACTGTTACTGTTACAGAGATCTCTGTCGGTTCCCTTGTTGGAACTACTACTGTTTACTGATTGATAGCCATTATTGACTGTTCGGTCTTTCAAGACCTACTGTTTACTGCACTGTTATGCTAATGGATATACCACATATGACTGTACTGACTGAAATACTAATTTAATGAACTGTTTTCATTACTGTAAGGACATTCATTCTAAACCTCTTTACGCATTATGTTATTCACTGGGCTTTAGCTCACTGCTCATATATATATACAGGTGTACAGGCACCAGACCGCGGCTAGAAGCGTCAAGGTAAGCTCCAGTTTTGTCAAGCCAACCACTGTGCCTCACTGCGAGGTTCCGAGCCTATCAAGCTATGGCTTAGGGGTGTTTTAATTTCCCCCGTCTGTCTCTGTAACTGTTTTGTTAACTATATAGACTGTTACTGTACTATTTAATAGGGATTAGGTCCCTGATCTGAATGATTATAAATGTTGTACATACTGTTCTGCACTGTGTGTATATATACATGTATGCATGAAAAGTCTTTTTAGCATACAGACTGTCACAGCTCATTGGACATTGTTTATTTACTGTATTGGCTTCCGCCAGGCCCCTTGTAACAACCCTCATACTGTTTACTGATTAATGACCGATTGATTACCGATAATCACCGATTACTGTTAAACGGAACTGATAATGACTGATAACTGACTGATAATTGAACTGATTAAAGTACTGAACTGACTGACCGAAATTGAAACTGAATTGAGTGAATACATCTGTTGAATTGCATTTTATCTGTTGACAGTATGATTATCTGTTCATGTTCATATGTTTAAACTGCTAATTGAAGGCCATATCGGCGGCCGAATTAGAAACCGATTGATGTTCCACG